TTTACTGAGATAATCACATGGTTTTTGTCTTTGGTTCTGTTTATGTAATGGATTACATTTATAAATTTGTGTATTCTGAACCAGCCTTGCATCCCCAGGATGAAGCCTACTTGATCGTGATGGATAAGCTTTTTGATGTGCTGCATATGGAACTAAAAGAGAGCCCGCATAGCCAAGACAATCCTAAGCAAAAAGAACAAAGCTGGTGGCATCAAGCTACCTGACTTCAAACTATACTAAAAGGCTACAGTAATCAAAACAGCAAGGTACTGGTACCAAAACAGAGATATAGACCAGTAGAACAGAACAGAGACCTCAGAAGTAACATCACACACCTACAACCATCTGATCTTTGACAAACCTGACAATAACAAGCAATGGGGAAATGATTCCCTGTTTAATAAATGGTGTTGGGAAAACTGGCTAGCCATGTGCAGAAAGCTGAAATGGACCCCTTCCTTACACCTTATATAAAAATTAACTCCAGATGGATTAAAGATTTAAACATAAGACCTAACACCATAAAAACCCTAGAAGAAAATCTAGGCAATATCAGTCAGGACATAGGCATAGGCAAGGACTTCATGACTAAAACACCAAAAGCAATGGCAACAAAAGCCAAAATAGATAAATGGGATCTAATTAAACTTAAGAGCTTCTGCACAGCAAAAGAAACAATCATTAGAGTGAACCAGCAACCAACAGAATGGGAAAAAATTTTTGTAAGCTACCTATCTGACAAAAGCTAATATCTAGAATCTACAAAGAACTAAAACAGATTTACAAGAAAAAAACAACCCCATCCAAAAGTGGGCAAAGGATATGAACAGGCACTTTTCAAAATAAGACATTTATGCAGCCAACAAACATATGAAAAAATGCTCATCATCACTGGTCATTAGAGAAATGCAAATCAAAACCACATTGAGATACCATCACACACCAGTTAGAATGGCAATCATTAAAAAATCTACAGACAACAGATGCTGGAGAGGATGTGGAGAAATAGGAACACCTTTATACTGTTGGCGGGAGTGTAAATTAGTGCAACCATCGTGGAAGACAGTGTGGTGATTCCTCAAGGTTATAGAAATAGAAATACCATTTGACCCAGCAATCCCATTATTCGGCATATATCCAAAGGATTATAAATTGTTCTATTATAAAGACATACGCACACGTATGTTCATTGCAGCACTGTTTACAATGGCAAAGGCTTGAAACCAACCCAAATGCCCATCAAGGATAGCCTAGATAAAGAAAATGTGGCACATATATACCATGGAAAAATACATAGCCATAAAAAAGGATAAGTTCATGTCCTTTGCAGGGACATGGATGAATCCGGAAACCATCATTCTCAGCAAACTGACACAAGAACAGAAAACCAAACACCACATGTTCTCACTCTTAAGTGGGTGTTGAACAATGAGAACACATGGACACAGGGAGGGGAACATCACACACTGGGGTCTGTTGGGGGCCAAAGGAGGGATTGCAGGGGGTGAAGAGATTGGGGAGGGATAACATTAGGAGAAACACCTAATGTAGGTGATGGGGGGATGGAGGCAACAAACCACCATGGCATGTGTATACCTATGTAACAACCCTGCAAGATCTGCACATGTACCTCAGAACTTAAAGTATAATAATAATTAAAAAAGTAAATTCTATAAATGTTGGTAAAATTGGAAAGTCTGATATAAATTATTGCTCAAAAATGCACATAAGTGGAATTTTATACTAATTATAAATATTTTACCAGTGGTTAATTGTTAAAGAGGATATCTGCTTTTGAGTTCCACTTTTACAAGAAAACATTGACATGAAAATTCTGAAGATATTCTTTTAGCAATACTACATGAGTTTAATAGGTAGTGGGTTTTTTTTAATTAAATTAGTAAAATTCTTCTCTCTTCACTTAAGGGTCTCTCGGTGAATTAAAATGTATTCCTATATGGAGATAATTTTAATTTTTAGGTAGTTTTTAAAGTTCTCTGATTAATGGGCCATTGCAAAATGTGTTTTTGTTAACGTCTGGAATTTTCTGACTGGCCTCATCTGGCAAGTTTTGGTTATCTGTATATGTTTTCTACTTTATATGGGAAAATTACTCTTTTTTTGGTGTAATAATCTTTATTATATTTTCCTATTTAACAGCTATCAAAAAAATTCTTTTTTTTTTTACTTTCAAAAACTGTTTTTAGCTACCAATTTTATTTAATTTGTTATCAGAGCTGCCTTTTTATAAACCTCTCCTTTCCCCATCTTTAAATTCATTTTGCTCTTATTATTAAATCCTTTAAAAGCCTCTCTGGCATTTTCAGACTTATTTTATGTTCCTCTTTCTGTATCTGTCTTGCTGTCTATAAAGAAAAATTATGTCATTGTTTCAAAACTTAAAATGTTCTCTTAGATTTGCCATTGCTGGCAAATCTAAGGTAGAGGATGGAGAATTAGCATGAGTAGGAGGAAGAGGAGGAAGAGATATACTTTCCTTAGAGAAATCTCTGGCATACATGTCGAAACAGGGGGAACACTGACTAGTTAGAACCAAAGTGCTAATGAGCATAAAGGCTACAGATGAAGTACTGTCAAGTGCCTCTTTGTATCTTTTTTTAAAAAGACAGTTCTCTATAGCTAACTGCAGCCTTGAACTCCTGGGCTCAAGCAGTCCTCCCACCTCAGCAATCCCAGTAGCTGGGACAACAGGCATGAGCCACCACATCCAGCTCCCTCTTTGTATCTTTAAAGATTCATAAGCAGGGCATAAGCAGAGATAAGAGGTAGTCAAGACACTAATTGCCAACTATTTCTACCCCTTCTAGTCACATGGTAGGTTTTAGCTTGGCCCCACTGTAGTAGATGGGGACATGTAATCACAGTTTTGGCCAATGAGTTCAGAATGAAAATGACATGTGTCATGTAGCATGACCTGACAAGAACATTAAATTGCCAATTTGACACCTTTCAAAACTTATTCCCTCACACATGGTGACCAGCAAAGGCTAAGATCCTGGCTGCTCTGTTAGCCTGGGATCTTTAGTGACTACCATGAGTAGAGGCTCTCTGTCTACCCACAGCAGACAGACAACATGAAAATAAATCTTTTGTTATTCTAAGCCCCTTGTTTGTTACTGAAGCATAATCTGTTCCTCCTAACTGAAATTTTGTATCTTTAACAAACATTTTCCATTCATCTCCCAGGATGTATTCGATAAAATATTGTATCACTATACACAGCATAAAAAGTGTTACCACATAGTTTATATAAATTTTCTCTCAATTATCAATACTTCACCATCATCTAATGGTATGGTGGCTACACTATCCTGGAAACCCTGAAAAGCCTATAAAAATAATTTAGAAATGAAATGCTGCAATCATGTTGCAAGAAGTAGGAATTATTTACAAATGGGTCAGGTTAAGTTGAAAATAAAAATGGAAAATCTTGAGATTTGGGAGATTTAAAAAAGAGGTCTGATTGCAAGTTATGATACAATTCTTCGTAATCTGTGCCCACAGGTAAGAATGATAAGTGAGTTTAAAACTCTTCTCTTTGAGCTCTGTACTGGTAATTAAGCTATTGTCACTAAGGTACCAACCTATCTTTCTATATTCTCTCTGCTTTGTGATGCTGGGGCAGGCATTATACAAACTTTCTTCTTTTTCAGCTGCCTCCCTTTTGGGCTCCCTAATAGAGGGTACCAGATGAAAGAGAGCAAGGATTGGTTCCATATTGCTCTTTTTCTCTATACTCATCAGAATCACTCCAGCAAGAATTCCTAATTGCAGTAATGGCAGCTGGTTCCTGCCTTCAGCTTATTTTTGGCAATTCCAGAATGAGCCTCTTGACTGCTCAAAAAGTATCAGCATCAGCTAAGCAATGCTCCTTCCTTAGAGGTCTGAACCCCAGTGCTCTAGTGCCTCTTCTCCAAAAGTCTAGATTCTGTAACTCTATTCTCTTCCCTTTGTTCCTATGACCCAAGGGAAAGTAGCTGTTTCCTAAAGTCAGTGTCCCACTTTTGCTTTCTCAATTATCTAATATTTATCAATTTCCTTCTATAAGGTCCTCTTATTTTATTTTATTTATTTATTTATTTGCAAATACTGACTCCAGTGAAGATCCTCTCTTTTAAAATATCTAGCGTGAGGAGGGCTGGATGCGGTGGCTCACACCTGTAATCCCAGCACTTTGGGAGGCTTAGGCGGGCAGATCACAAGGTCAAGAGATCGAGACCATCCTGACCAACATGGTGAAACCCCATCTCTACTAAAAATACAAAAATTAGCTAGGCATGGTGGCATACACCTGTAGTCCCAGCTTCTAGGGAGGCTGAGGTAGAAGAATCACTTCAACCTGGGAGGCAAAGATTTCAGTGAGCCAAGATTGCACCACTGCACTCCAACCTAGTGACAGAGTGAGACTCCGTCTCAAACCAGCAGGAGAAGCCTGGGTGCAGTAGTTCCATACCTATAATCCCAGTATTTTGGGAGGCCAAGGTGGGAAGATTACTTGAGCCTAGGAATTCAAGACCAGTCTAGGCAATATAGTGAGATCTCATGTCTAAAAGTAAAAATAAAAATGTTTAGTTTTGTTTCTGCTTTCCTGATGGGATCCTGATGACATAAGCTCTATAATTAAAAATAAATGAACAAAGTACTGCTAGACGCATTTTCAAAATATAAAGTCTGTTTTTTTTTTTTAAAAAAAACTTTTCTTGAAAAAGATATATATTGTATTTGATGCTACTGTGCCTTTAACTTTTCTTACCAGATTGTTAGTACTTAAAATTGCACTGCAAAATACAAGTTCAGGGTACATGTAATTCTCCAAAAGCAGAATTTATCACTAATTCATTCCCTCCAACATATTTCTCTAGTTCAGAGTTAAACCTGTTTTTCTTTCCAATTACTTTCATAGAGAAGACCTGCTTTGAAGAATCACATATATTATGACATCCAAGTTTTAAATGAACATTATTACTTATAAGACATACCCTGAAATTCTATGTCTCCAATTCCGATATGGATCATATAAACTTTCACAAAATGCCAATGCATGGATCACAAATTCTTCAATAGACGTCTGATCTGCCATTTCCTTCTCTTTCTTTTTGCTTTTTAACTAAGAACAAAGTTAAACACAAAATTAAAGTCATGTCTTACTTATCATCTAACTATAAGTCATTTGTATTCAAATAAGCCAAACTTTCCCATTGAGACTAAGAGTCATTTAATCATATGGACCACATACATCCTTTAAGATTTTAAATATGTCCTATGATAAGTTTAAAATAGCTAGCCAAACATCTTTTGAAAACGTAGTATGTTTTCAGTAAGAAGGATACGTGATGCATAATACGTAAAATCACAAATGGTATCATTTTAAAAGCCATTTATAAAACACTTCAATTTTTAAATTAAATAGCAGTATATATAATAACTACTTATCTACTTTTAGGTAATATGTACAAGATTTCTGAAATACATATTAGCCAACAGTAAGTTTAGGTCTCTTCTCAATTATTACCTCTTCTGAAAATATTTAACCATAATAACTATAATACAAAAAAAAGTAAAACCTAGTTACTCTCAGCAAAGTGATAAAAATGAATATATTAGTTCACACCTACTTGCTGAATATAGAGTGTTGTCATGGTGATGACATAATTAATGTATGAGCAAGTCCCAATTTCTTCCACATTTGATAGATTTCTATGAAAAAAAGAGACTTTAATTTTTTACATATGAATGGTGAACAAAACATATGTTCATGTATTCAGCTTGAATTATGAGAATATATGTTGGCAAACAAAATGCAAATGACATTCATTAAAACATAAAAGCAAATTGGTTATATAACTGCTCTCCCAACCAAGAATGTGAAATATACCTCAAGCACCATTTAACTACTATAAACAAAGAATGTTTACAAAGTACATGTTGATTAGCATCTATTTATTATTGGAAATTGGAAAATATCACAAAGTAGAAACAGAAGAGAAAAAATATATGCCAATATCTTATAATCCATAAGTAACTATGTAGAGTCTTGCTCTGCCACCCATGCTGGCGTGCAGTGGCATAATCTCAGCTCACTGTAACTTCCGACTCCTGGGTTTAAGCAATCCTCCCACATCAGCCTTCCAAGTAGCCAGGATTACAAGCATGTGCCACCATTCCTGGATAATTTTTGTATTTTTAGTAGAGACGGGGTTTCACCGTGTTGGCCAGGCTGGTCTTGAACTCCTGACCTCAAGTGATCCGCCTGCCTCAGCCTCTCAAAGTGCTGGAATTAAAGGTGTGAGCCACTTCACACAGCCAGCAAGACAACAATTTTTTAAAAACAATTGGCCAGGCATGGTGGTGTGCCTCCCAGCTACTCAGGTACTGAGGTGGGAGGATCATGTGAGCCAGGGAGGCTGAGGTTGTAGTGAGCTATGACCATGTCAGTACACTCCAGCCTGGGTGATGGAGCAAGACTCTGTCTCAATTTTTTAAAAAAGTATAATCTGGCCAGGTGCGGTGGCTCACACCTGTAATCTCAACACTTTGAGAGGCTAACGCAGGCGGATCATGAGGTCAGGAGTTGGAGACCAGCCTTGCCAATATGGAGGAGGGTCAGGTGTGATGGTTTATGCCTATAGTCCTAGCACCTTGGGAGGTCAAGGTGGAAGGATCACTTGGGACCTGTCGTTCGAGATCAGCTTGGGCAACATGGCAAAACCCTTCTCTACCAAAAATACACAAAAAAGCTGGGCATGGTGGCATGTACCTATAGTCCCAGCAACTCAGAGGCTGAGGTGGAAAGATAAATTGAGCCTGGGAGATCAAGGATGCAAGGAGCACTTATCAAGCCACTGCACTCCAGCATGGGTGACAGAGTAAGACCCTGTCTAACAAACAAAACAAGAAAATTCACGGAGGACCCTTAAATGCATATTGCTAAGTGAAGGAAGCCAGTCTGAAAAGGCTACATTCTGTATGATTCTAATTATGACACCCTGGAGAAAGCAAAACTAAAAGACACCATTAAAAGATCAGTGGTTAAGCCTCACTCTAGATCCTCTCACTTCAGCCTTACAAAATGTTGGGATTGCAGGCAATGTTAATCATGGTGTCCAAAAGTAAGTTAATGTATCTAAATTGAGACACAGGTTATGCTTCCATCACAGTATACATATCGCAGTGGTGACAATGAGATCTGTAACATTTGGTATGCTTATGCTATGAGTTAAAAAAAAAAAATCAGTGGTTGCCAGAGGTTGGGGCAGGCACAGAGGTGGTATATGCATGAGTGTATAAGGAATGAATAGGTGGAGCACAGGCCATTTTTAGGGTAGGGAAACTATTCTGTCTTTATTCCCAACACTTTGATAGGCAGGAGGATTACTTGAGCCCAGGAATTCAAGACTAGCCTGGACAATGCAGCAAGACAATAATTTTTTTTTATTATTATTTTTTTGAGACAGAGTCTTGCTCTGTCACCCAGGCTGGAGAGCAGTGGCATAATCTCGGCTCACTGCAACATCTGCCTCCTGGGTTCAAACGGTCCTCCTACCTCAGCCTCCCAAGGAGCTGAGATTACAAACATGTGCCATCATTCCCAGCTAATTTTTGTATTTTTAGTAGAGATGGGGTTTCACTATAAAATATATGACAAAATAAATATATGACAATATAAATCTGTCAAAACCCATGAAACTATAGGACACAAATAGTGAACCCTAATATGCACATGGACCTTAGTTAATAATGTATGAATATTGGTTCGTCAGCTATGACGAACGTATCACACTAATGCAAAATATTAACAATAGAGGAAACTCGGGGCTACAGCAAAGGAGTATATGTGGGAATTCTAGGTTTACATAAAAACTGCTCTAAAACAGAAAGTCTATTAAAGTTTTTTAAAAGGGCTTTAAAAAAGTAAAGGGAGATCTCTGTAAATAGAAACATGTTCTGTGACTGGTAGCTACTGAACATTAAATTTATCACCAGAAACTATCTCCTACCCAAAAAATTTTTTTCAACCAAAAAAATGTGTTGAGCATTCAAGTGCTTCCCTCTATTACCAAAACCTAAACATAATGAATTTAAAACAAATATCTGTAGAATTTTTCATTTCAGCAAAATTGTGGTAGGTAGCTAATAGCAAAATATAGCAAATTATCAGAGGCCAACTTATGTCTTACTATCTGAATAAACCCTTTTCCTTTAACCTTTTTTCTTTTTTTGAGACACAGTCTCGCTCTGTCACCCAAGTTGGAGTACAATGGCACAATCTCCCCTCACTGCAACCTTCGCCTCCTGGGTTCAAGCGATTCTCCTGCCTCTGCCTCCTGAATAGCTGGGATTTCAGGTGCCTGCCACCACACCCAGCTAATTTTTGTATCTTTTGGTAGAGACAGAGTTTCACCATGTTGGCCAGGCTGGTCTCGAACTCCTCACCTCAAGTAATCCACCTGCCTCCGCCTCCTAAAGTGCTGGGATTACAGGTGTGAGCCACTGTACCCAGCTGCATTCTTCAACCCTTATAATTCTTATATTATTATTCTAAATTTTAAGGATGAAGAAAAACACAAAAATGAAAACATGTCTAAGACTCTGGGAGAACCTAAATTAGGGATGAAATATTTTGGCAATTATTGCTCAATCATTCCATGATTCCTGAAAAGGCAATAAGCAATTAAGCCAAAGGTGACCAACAGGTAAATTAAGTCCCTATTCATCTACTAATTAATTATAAAATATTTATAAAACAAATAATGTATGTTATAGAAAGTGGCTTCCAAAAAAAAGATAAATTTAAAGATATAGCATGTGGCTTTCGAAATGAAGATAGATTTCAAGAGGAATATGATGCCCTAAACCAATGGTTCTTAAATTCTTATATGCAGATGAATGTGGAATGTTTGAAAAATCTAGATTTTGAGCCCTTTTGAAACAGAATTTCCATAAGCAAGTCTCAAACTCTGTATTCTACTAAGCTTCCTTGTTGTTATTTACACCTACCAAAATGTAAGCATCACACACCTAATTTATAAATGTGGGAAATAGATAATGTATAGGATAATTACATTTTATTTGGTAAAATGATAAAATGAAATATCTGAATGATTTATTTTCACAAATAATAACAGAGGGTAATAAAAATGCATATACATTTACAGGTGAGAACCATACAAAAAATACTGGTATAGCAATTTCTTACGGAAGAAAAACTGTCATTGACTTTAATATAATTTTTTAAAATCTTGGCTCATGTCTCTGTAACTAGGTATAGTAACTAAAAGGATTTCCAATATACTAACAAACCAAAAGCCTATTGCAAAAAGTGTACTTACTCTATAAAGCTTCATGTGAACTACAAACATCATTAATAATAAATAAAATTAATTATTATTTTGGTAACAATTCTTTTAAAACAGATAGTTTATTTTTTTTACTAGATACCTGCAAAGAATAATGAAGAATTTGACAAGCAAAATTGACAAGGCTTGCTGTTGTTCCTCTAACCCATCTGCCATTTTCTGAACACACTGTAGCAACTGGATCCTCAGAACCTGCAGAATATTATCAGGGAGCAGAGATATTCCTGGAGGCACATCATCTACCCTACAACAGAAAGGGAAAAGAATAAGAAGCCTGTTGAAATATAAGAAGAAAATCTCTGGCATTTAAATGAACTTCATTTTCAGCCAAAATCCTAAAGAAGCTCTTTTATTCATTCCAGATACTCTGTGCCTTCTTGTCTGCAACATCTGGTGGTAACCAGATGATTAGTAACTAGAACATTGTTAGAGCAGAGTGGTTTTTCTTACTTCAGAAGAGGCTTACTAAAGAGAGAGACAGAGAGACTATTTGATATCTTCAATTGTACTATTTTTAATGAAAATATTTAGAATAAATTATTTTCCACTTAGAAATACTATGTATACTAAATACTGTGTATACCAGTGTGCATGCCCTTTCTAAAAGAAACAATAACTACCAAATAAAAGTGAAGTATCTATGTAACTAGCTTAATATTTGTCAACTGCTTTACTAAACATCATCGTTTAGTACAGACTCCGCAAGCTATATGATCAGAAGAGGGAGAAAATGATAACCAGCAAAAGGAAAGGAGAAAGATAAAAGGGTATAAAAACCAAAAAAGCAAAAAAGGAAACAGAACTCTGAGCATGGGCATCAACAGAAGATTTTAAAAAGTAATATGTCAATATTTTGTAACAAATGGTTTCTATGTAAGACTACGTGGTTCTTAAGGGCAACAGTCAATATCAGACCTGAGTGGTTCCTCTGGTGTTTCTTTCATAATAAAAACCCATATCTAGATTCAAAGTGTAAAGACAAGGGTACTAAATCTCAGCTCTGTAACATAGAGCTGACAATTTGACCTTTGAAGTTCCCCATGGAAGCTGAAGTACCCAACCTCATGAAATAAATCTGTGTTCCTAGAGGAGCTGGTTTTAAGAGGGCTATGCAGATGGGCACAAGGGATGTATCAAAGGTCACTACTGTGGTCACACAACCAAAACCAGAGAATACGTTCTCCCTCCCCATCAAAAATCAGTGGCACTAAAAACCCTATCATCTCTGGAGATGGAGGAAAATCCAAAGCATAACAAAGCATGGATATCTTACCAGCCTGAAAGATGTGGGCTTAGAATCAAAGGCATGCTGAGTCACAGATAATGAAAAAATACAGTATTTCTTACAAACCTGTTTCTGGCCTGAGGTCTACACCTGGTTGAAACCTATGCCAAATCAGCTAAGAAACAGAAACTTGGCCAGCCTGGGCAACAAAGCAAAACTTCATCTTTACTTAAAAAAAAAATAAATTAACGAGATGTAGTAGTACAGGTCTTCACATCAAAAGCTCCGCCATTCCTTAAAAAGTAGACATGTAGCCTGGGGGCAGTGGCTTACACCTGTAATCCCAGGCGGATCACCTGAGGCAGGGAGTTCGAGGTCAGCCTGACCAACATGGAGAAACCTCAACTCTACTAAATACAAAATTAACCAGGTGTGGTGGCACATGCCTATAATCCCAGCTACTCAGGAGGCTGAGGCAGGAGAATGACTTGATTACAGGAGGCAGAGGTTGTGGTGAACCGAGATCATGCTATTGCACTCCAGCCTGGACAACAAGAGTGAAACTCCATCTCAAAAACAAAACAAAACAAAAAGTAGACAAGTATTGCCCATATCTGAAGGGAGCTCCCTAAAGCACACCTGTGATTAAATGACAATTATACTTTACAGTAGTCTCTTCTTCAGCTTATGCTTAAAATGAAGTATTGCTAGTATTTTTATACCAAGTAAAAGGCTGTTTGATTAACTGTAGGCAGAAAAATCTGAAGCACATAACCAGTAGTCACATGTAGAATAAATACAGTTAGCCTCTTTCTTAATCATCCTACGACATAAATTAAGGAAGTATTTTATAAAATGAACACCCGATTTTAATTAAATTACACAAAAAAATAAGCCATAAAGCATATTACAAGAAATGCCAAATTCTATAACCCAGTTACAAACATTTCATTTTAGTTGGGGCACCATTTCACTTGTAGCTTTGGATTCTTTCATTCTCTTATTTATAGGTAGGTCCCAGAAAATCTTATTTATAGACATACATATATAGTTTTTCCCGCTAAAGGGCTAAAAGAAGTAATCTAAAAATAATAAACAAAGATTTAGATATAACTAATTTTCAAAAGTAAGCAAAGCTATTCCTCCTCACTTTTCCAAAAACATATGTCAACAAGAAAGAAAACATTTGATTTCCCAGCATTTTATCCTACTTATTTAAAAGAGTATTTCCCTTTGTCCTTAGTCATCTCATTCTCTACATGCACATTGTTTTTAATAAGTAATTAAACAGTCAGAAAATCAGCTTCTAAAAAATGACTAAAGAGGAAAAAAATTAGTTTCTAAGATTTTTTTTTTTTTTAACAAAATTGGGGCTTGGACTTGGAACCAACCCAAATGCCCATCGATGACAGACTGGACAGGGAAAATGTGACACACATACACCATGGAATACTATGCAGCCATAAAAAACGATGAGTTCGTGTCCTTTGTAGGGACATGGATGAACCTGGAAACCACCATTCTCAGCAAACCTGACACAAGAACAGAAAATCAAACACCGCATGATCTCACTCATAGGTGGAAGTTGAGCAATGAGAACACATGGACACAGGGAGGGGAGCATCACATACTGGGGTCTGTGGGGGGGAACTAGGGGAGGGACAGTGGGGGGGTCAGGAATTGGGGAGGGATAACATGGGGAGAAATGTCAGATATAGGTGATGGGGAAGAAGGCCGCAAACCACATTGCCACATATGTACCTATGCAACAATCTTGCATGTTCTTCACATGTACCCCAAAACCTAAAATGCAATAAAATATATACATTTAAAAAAAAAATGGGGCTTGGTTGAACATGCCTTATAAAGATGAAATTTCTGGCCATGTTCCTAATGTTATGAGCATTTAAGAATTGGAAGCATTTTTCCCACCTCTAGGACTTTACTGTTCAAAATTAAATTCTATGCTTCTTTTGTTACAGTTTTCCAAATTCCAAAAAGCTGTTCCACTCCTCTGTTTGGTTACTGAATGTCTATTGTAAACAGCTGCCAATGCTTGTCTGTGTCTAATACAGGAAGCAGCCTAGGCTCAAGTTCAAAGCTTTATATTCTAATAAAAGCCATCTCTGCTTTACATTATGAATTCTCTAAGGTCAGTTTACTTCAAATGAGGATTAGCCATGGGTCTCTTACCTTTAAGGTGATTTGACTAATTTTATAAAATATCTTGCATAAAGCATACACTTAAAAATTTGAATGTTTTCTGTTAGAAAAATTAAATTCATAGCTCAGTTTTTTGACAAAAACATGAAACACAACTGTAAGTAAACAAACTATATCACAAACACAGCAATGCTCTTGGCATTCTTCATGTTAGTTTAAACATAGTGGCAATATAAGTCTTCCTAATGTTTTTGGAAACCAACTCCCAAGAAAGGAGATATTCGTCATGTATGGATGATAGCAACTGCACCTCAGAAACTTTAGAAGCCTTCATTCCAATATTCCAAATATTCAAAGGCTCAAATTCTAACTCTATAAAATTCTTAGCCCCATGATTTAAAGCAAGATGTAAAGTATTAAAATAGAAGTACTTCTAAGCACAAATAAGAATATTATTTTCTTAGTAAAAATCAGTAATATATAATTTTATTTTGAGAAAAGTTCAAGATTTAATGCCTCCCAACCTTTATAAACCTATCATGAATAATAATCTAATGAGGAAGGCATCTGAAACTTAATTTATAAATAATGAAGTACTAGTCTTTTCTTAGTACACCCACATCCTAACTTGAGTTCAGTATCTTGGTCAAAAGCTCCAGTGATGTCTCTGGATTATCATACCTACCTCTTAACTGGGCTCCCTGCCTTCAGTCTCAACCCTCTCCACCAGCCACTAAAGTGACTTTGAAACACAAACTTGATCAAGACATTCTACACAGAAAAATTTTCAGTAGCACTCTTATTTTCCATAACAACAATAAGAGTCAAAGTCCATAGTATTGTACGCATGATACTTCACGATCTGGCCCCTATTTGATTCTCTAGACTCGATTCTCCTTTACTACCTCTGATTGCCTACCTCTGTCCCCAAAATGCAAACACTTTTCCTTGTTAAAGATTTAATTCTCCAGATACTCTTTCTCATCACCATAAACCATCCATTTCTCCCTTCTCCCCTTCATACCCTTTTTTTTTTTTTTTTTTTTTTTTTTTTGGAGACAGGGTTTCACTCTGTCACCAGGCTGGAGTGCAGTGACATGATCATAGCACACCACAGCCTCTACTGCCTGGGCAAAATCGATCCTTCCATCTCCATCTCCTGAATAACTGGGACTACATGTGCATGTCACCATTTTTAATTTTTTGTAGAAACAGGGTTTCGCCATGATGTCCAGGCTGGCTCAAACTCCTAGGCTCAAGTAATCTGCCCACCTCAGGCTCCCAAAGTACTGGGATTACAGATGTGAGCCACTGCACTCGGCCAACATGTATCTTAAACTGGCACTCCTTTTGTGGCTAAACGCCTCTTGCGATTTTTCTTGCATTTTACTCCAGCCAATCTCTCTTATTGAACTACTATTAGGCCTTCAAGGTAGCTTAAGACATAGAAAAAACTTTATCTGAAAAGTGGGCCTGGGAAATGGTAAGAAGGTGAGGAATGGTGGCAGGTGGAAAAATTACTTTTCAATAAATTTGAATTTTTCCCCCATTTTATGATTTTTAAATCTAGTTTCTAAAAATCTAAACACTTCACCTCCTCTAAGATGTTTTCTAAGGTCCTACTATAAGGGCAGGAATGAAAATAAGTTTCAACTCACATGTCTGCTGTATAATAAAGAATATATAAGAATACATAACTGGTCTTTGTCCCAGTTTTCTGGCATATTGCTTCAAAAACCCTTGAGATTTTCTGCGTGATATTCAGAATGTCTTTTGTTATTCATGATAAGCCCTATGGATTACATCTGAGTCTATGCAAGTGAAGTGACTCAAAGTGAGCCCTTAGTTTCAAACTCTGGACATCAAAATCTTGAAGAGCTTCCTGATTAGTGAACACACTGATGTTTAGGAAGGGCAACACACCTTGACTCCATGGGGAGAAGACCATGGAAACTCTGCATCCAGAACCTTCCACACCTTGTCCTATGTGTATTCTTTACAATAAAGCCATAATCATAAGTATAGTACTTTCAGTAAGTTCTTCGAGTCAGTGTAGTGAGTTACTGAACCTGAGATGGGGAGGAAGGTGTGAGAACCTGAATTTATAGCCAGTTGGTCTGAAATGTGGGTGGTCCCCAAGACTTGCAGTGGTTAATGTCTGAAGTGAAGGCAGTCTTACAGAGGACTTTGCCTTAACCTGTGGGATCCGGTAGTTGGTGTCAGAAATTAAGTGTGTTGCAGGACACCAGTTGGTAGTGTCCTACCAAAGCAGAGAAGAGGTTTCTAGAAGCCAGGTTTAGCATCACCAAGAAAGACCACTGTCATGAATTAGCTATGTCTCTGTGAGAATAGGGTTATTCATGAGTATCAAGAGAGTAACATAATTATCATCCTTGTAATAGGTCATCAATGAAATCTGTGTCGAAAATGAAAAACTCATCCAAGGGTAACAAATTAGTGTTTCTACATACCTGGTAGGCAGCTTTTCAAAGTCAACATCTAAAAATTGTTCATAGCTAGAAACAAAAGTGTCCAACCATAGCTTCAGGTAATCTGGATCTTTCTGAAATAAGAAAACCATTATAATATTAAGTATACCTGTCAGGAAAAAAAATGCTTCCACACCTATTAAACAGATACGTAAAGAAGCAATACTATGAAATCTCTAAGTGAATTCAGGAGTATATTTGTGCTGTTTCAAAATGTGTATTTAGTATATGGAACTCTCAAATGGCTTCTCATGTCACTCAAAGAGCTAAAATCTTAACAATGTCCTATAAGAGTTTAAACAATTTACCCTCCTATATCACTGTAACCTTGTCCACATTTACCCTGTACTATACTGGCCTTCTGGCTGTTTCCTGGGATATGCCAGGTCTTCTCTTTGACCCTTCCTTTCCAGTTTTTGAAGATAAAACAGGGAATAATCTTCTCTGAAGATACTTGATAAAAATTGCCCCAAAAAACAAAAACACATGCTTCCACTGCACTGTGCTTTCAGATATTCTGGGTCTTGTTCAGCTGGTGGATGAGCTGATTGATGCGTTCATCCCAGAGCCAGGTGAGCCCATCTTCTTGAGGAAGCCCATTATATTTTTGGTATGTAGTAGAAGTTGCAGTGAGGGGAGATCATGCTACTGCACTCCAGCCTGAGAAGACAGGCCACCGAAAGGTGAAAAGGGTGCAAGAACCATAAGATCTCCTAGAAATACTTCCCTGGGAAGACAATTTCATGAATGAGGTCTTCCGAGCAAGTGACACCAAACTTCCCCAGTTGCTCCTCAGTCATTGTGTTGTCTGTCAGAGGGATGGTCTTATTCTTGACCTTGGCTTGTCCACATTTCAAAGTTAGTTCCCGCACAGACTTCAGATGTGGAAATCCCCAGGTCATGTAAAGTTCCACTATAAGCGGCATTTTTAAGTTCTGGGGATTGACTTTTACAAAGACACCACTAAAAATTTTCTTCAGGTGAAGTCTTGCAATGGTTCTCTCCACCAGTAAACTCATACCATTAATCCTTCCAACAAAGACCAACGGATGTTTATCTGGCAATTTCAGGGCATGAGGTCTCACTTTTAGTCATCTGAGATGCACCTTGTCACATTTTCTGCCTCCAGGAATCATGCAGGAACGATTCCAGTTGCTTAAACCTGAGCCCTTTTCCTTTCCTCTGCTCCCTCTTTGACAAAAGTGCCTGTTTTGCCTGAGTGGCTTTGAGGGCTTGATAAGCCTTTCTCTTTTTCAAGAGATTTTCTGGAACCAAAGGGATTTTTCTTTGCTCTTGTTCCACCATCTTTCTAGTATTGTAGCTACTATCAGGCACAACCCTACCCCAAGTCATTTTTTAAATGATATATTCTCAAGAAGGCCTATTTTTACCATCTTTCTTAAAACCAGAAACCTCACCACCGCTTTACCTTTCCCTATCATGTTCCCCCAACCATGGTCCTTTATCACCTTTCATCATGCTCTATAATTTACTTATTAGTTTACTGTTTGTCACTTCCCCAGAATACAGATTTCACAAGTGCAGAGAGTTTCATTTTTTTGTTTACTAATCAACACCAGTACCTTAAATAGAGGCTGGTACTGAGGCTGTGCTCAGTAAATATTTGTTCCATTAATAGTAAGTGTAAAATGCATAAATGAAATCAAATTGGAAATAAATCATTAAAGTAAACATAAAAACTGAAACCAAAATTTTCTAGAAGAAAACATGTTGGGCACAGTGCTCACACCTGTAATCCTAGCACTTTGGGAGGCCAAACTGGGCAGATCACCTGAGGTCAGGGGTTTGAGACCAGCCTGGCCAACATGGTAAAACCTTATCTTTACTAAAAATATAAAAATTAGACAGGTGTGGTGGTGAACGCCTGTTGTCCCAGCTACTCAGGAGGTTGAGGCATGAGAATTGCTTGAATCCGGGAGGCGGAAGTTCCAGTGAGCCGAGATCATGCTACTGCACTCCAGTCTGAGTGACAGAGCAAGACTCTGTCTCCAAAAGAAAAGAAAATACTGAAAAATTTTGCTACCTGGAGATAAACAGAGGCTTCTTAGCTAGGACACAAAAAATCATAAACCTAAAAAGAAAAAAATAAATAATGTGTTAATCAAAATTTAAAACTTCTACTCATCAAAAGACGCTATTAAGAAAATGAAGCCTGGGTGCAGTGGCTCACATCTGTAATCCCCACACTTTGGGAAGCTGAGGTGAGAGAATCGCTTGAGCCCTGGAATTTGAGACCACCTTAAGCAACATAGTGAGACTCCATCTCTACAAAAAAATAGAAAAAAATTAGCTGGGCCTGGTTGAGCATGCATGTAGTCCCAGCTGCTCAGGAGGTTGAGGTGGGAGGAATTCTTGAGCAGAGGAAGTCAAGACTGCAGTGAGCTGTGATCGTGCCACTGAGTGACACATGCCATTAGTAAAGAAAAAGATGAATATCTCTGCACTTGTGAAACCTATATTCTGGTGACAGTGAGACTCTAAAGAAAAAAAACGGAAAGACAAACCGTAGTGGCTGAAAATATTCTCAAAGACTTGTATGAAGAACATAAAGATCTCCTAAAATCAATAACAAAGACAACTCAATTTGAAAATGAGCACAAGGGGCCAGACAAGGCTCACACCTGTAATCCTCGCACTTTGGGAGGCTGAGGAGGGTGGATCATGAGGTCAAGAGATCAAGACCATCCTGGTCAACATGGTGAAACCCTGTCTCTACTAAAAATACAAAAATTAGCTGGGCATGGTGGCGCATGTCTATAGTCCCAGCTACTCAGGAGGCTGATGCAGGAGAATCACTTGAACCTAGGAGACAGAGGTTGTACTGAGCTGAGATGGCTCTACTTCACTCCAGCCTGGGCAACAGAGTAAGACTCCGTCTCAAAAAACAAAAAAAAATGGGCAAAAGGTTTGGACACTTCACAAAAGGGAATACACGAATGGCCAAATAGCATCCTAATCTGTGACTAATATCATTAGTTATGCAGAGAAATGTAAATTAAAACCAAGTAAGATACCCATTAGATTGGCTAAAAGTAAAAAGACTAACTATATCACGTTAGTGAAGACATGCAGTAATTGTAACTCTCATATATTACTTGTGGCAGTATGAAATAAGATTACCACTTAGAAATGTTTAAATATGGCCGGGCGCGGTGGCTCAAGCCTGTAATCCCAGCACTTTGGGAGGCCGAGGCGGGTGGATCACGAGGTCAAGAGATCGAGACCATCCCGGTCAACATGGTGAAACCCCGTACTCTACTAAAAGTACAAAAAATTAGCTGGGCATGGTGGCACGTGCCTGTAATCCCAGCTACTCAGGAGGCTGAGGCAGGAGAATTGCCTGAACCCAGGAGGCGGAGGTTGCGGTGAGCCGAGATCGNAAAAAAAAAAAAAAAAAAAAAAAAAAAAAAAAAAAAAAAAAAAAAAAAAAAAAAAAAAAAAAGAAATGTTTAAATATACACATATCAAACAGCCCAGCCATTACTCTCCCAGATAAATGAATACAAATATCCACAAAAACGCCTGTACAAAAATATTTATAGAAACTTTGTTTATAATAACCCAAAGCTGAAAACAAAAATTCTGTCAAGTTAACAGATAAACAAATTGTGGTAATGGAATACAATTCCAGGAATAAAAATGAACTATTGATACTCACAATGACAAAAAAATTTTTTCAAAAATCTATTGAGCAAAAGATGTCAGACATCAAAGCACATACCACTTATTTATTTATTCATGTAATTATTTATGTATTTATTGATTTATGAGACAGGTTCTCACTCTGTCACCCAGGCCAAAGTACAGTGGCACAATCACGGTTCACTACAACCTCAAACTCCTGAGCTCAAGGAATCCTCTTACCTCAGCCTTCCAAAGTAGCTGGGATTACAGGCACAAACCATCATGCCTGGTTACTTTTTGCATTTTTTGTAGAGACAGGGTCTTGCTATGATCTCAAACTGCTGGCCTCAAGTGATCCCCCTACCTTGGCCTCCCAAAGTGCTGTAATTATAGGTGTGAAGCACCTCAACTAGCCTGATTTCACTTATATGCAGTTCTAGAGCAGCCTATGGTAACAGAAATTAGACCACATGGCTGCCTCTGGAGAGGACTAACTGCAAAGGGGCACAGAGGGAATTTTCCTAGGTGATGGAAATTTTCCATTTCTTGACTAAAATAATGTTCACACAAATGTTTGTGTGTATCAAAATTTACCACATTTGACACTGAAAATCTGTGCATTTTAAAGCTTTGTGACATTTCAGTAAAGCTGAGAGAAAAGAAACTGGCTGGGAGCAGTGGCTCACGCCTGTAATCCTAGAACTTTGGGAGACCAAGACGGGCGGATCACAAGGTCAGGAGATCAAGACTATCCTGGCCAACATGGTGAAACCCCGTCTCTACTAAAAATACAGAAAAAAAAAATACAAACCTGGGCATAGTGGCACACACCCTGTAGTCCCAGCTACTAAAAAGGCTGAGGCAGGAGAATCACTTGAACCCAGGAGGCGGAGGTTGCAGTGAGCCTAGGTCGCACCACTGAACTCTAGCCTGGCGACAAAGCGAGACTTTGTCTCCAAAAAAAAAAAAAAAAAAAAACTATGATCCCTGGAAATTTTTAAATATATTAACTGTATCTCAAAAAGTGATGCCCAATTCTTTTCCTTTGCCCCCTCAATATTTCTTCATGTCAGTCAGATTTCAACATGTGATTTAGGAGTCTCAGTTACACAGTCATTAAATATCATTGCTTAAGCACTCCTCTTGGTTAAAGGGAATTCAAGCAACTTATTTCTCTGAAATAAAAGCATTACACTACAAATCAAAATCTAAAAGAATGTTCCCAGAATATGCAGAGACTACTGACCTTTTGTGTATTTGCTTTTTCTATTAATATATGGTTCTAAGATCGGCTTGTAAACTCCCTCTCTCTACATCATTACTGAGAAATCAGATGAAAATACTGAAGAAAAAGAGCTACCTTTTATGAGAAATTTTCTCAAGAGTTTCACTACTTGTTTTTTACATGTCTAATTAGAATGTCATTCAT